AAATACTTGAAAATTAGCTAAAGATTGAGATACTTTTTTAGTTCTTAATCTTTCTTGTTAAACATCTACCGTCGGTATTTTGAGGCCTTCGGCCAAACCCTATCCCGACGGGGGGGGAAGCAAAGTGCTGCCGAAATTTCTCGGCAATTTGCTGAATTTTATTGAATTAAATCTTAAATAATTAAAGAAAATACTTGAAAATTAGCTAAAGATTGAGATACTTTTTCAGTTCTTAATCTTTCTTGTTAAACATGTACCGTCGGTATTTTGAGGCCTTCGGCCAAACCCTATCCCGACGGGGGGGGAGGCAAAGTGCTGTCGAAATTTGGAAAAATCTCCTAATTGAAATTAGTAATTCTTTTTTTTATATAAATATATTGAAAGCGATTAGGGAAATTAATTACAAATAAGTTAGAAATTTGTTTCTTTAAGCGACTTTCCTCTCGTTTCATTTGGCTTTAGTTCTTGGTAGGTAGCATTTGTCTAGGGACAATAGTCACGAACCCCATCCCAACGGGGGGAGGCAAAACGCTGCCGAAATTTTAGTAAAATCCCCAAAATTTATTTCTACCCCTAAAAAGCATCAAAACTCGGCGGGCTTATATAAGTATTGATCCTTAATATATATATAAACTAAGAAAGAAATTTTATCTTAACTAAATACATTTTCTTTATTTTATAATTGAAAAATACAAAAGAATTCCCTAGAAGGAGAAGGGAAAGAGACGTTGCGGTAACCTGGTTTCAGGTGAACCTACTAGCTTGTTCTCGAAGGCGTGAGGCAAGCGACGCGAAATTTCAGTTATTAATCTACACCTTCCGCTTGCTGCGTTCTCTCTAGCCGCCAGTTGAATGTGGCCGCGGGTGCAAGTAAAGGTCTATGGGGCTTCCATTGACTAGGATTTAGAGCCCCCTGAACTCATAGAGGGGGATCTGGTCGAGCTCACGATTCCCGGACGCAGCATTCGACACGCTGACGGCCAGTTTGCGTGGAGGTCCATAATCCTGTCCGAGGACGTGTGGCTTTGGACGTACAAAGAGCACCGGCCGGGTCAAGGAGTGGGCGTAGTGAGAGCCTACTTGTATTTGGGACCGGGTGCGGTCAGGGAGGCCGTGGTGGGCCTCGCGACGACAGGGACTAGTGACGCAGTTAGCAGGGCGTTACGCTACCTAGGGGAAGAGGTAGCTGCTTTCCGAGCGGAGGACGCGAGCGACCCGTTGACCCTATTTCACGGATGCCCTCCTCTKGATATCACRGGYGAGCTSGTGGTASCACGRGACKGGTTTTTCCCGTACAGCGTTAGGAGYCTGCGGGCGATAGTTCYGACGTTCGTAGTAGAGAGMGTCTTTGGAGGTATTGGTGGAGTGGTCGAGACATACCTGGCYTATCAGGATCTCAAGATCCTGGCGAGAAGGCCTGCCGACCTAGATTACATCTATTATTCGCTCGCGACCGGTGGGCCTCGTTGGGGAGACGAGAGGATTCAGCTTATAGAGCTGATCCGCTCGATAGACGACGAGTGGCCCCAGTCTCCGTGCGTTTGGGATTGGTTAGACCGTGAGCTCCGAGCAGGCCCCGAGTACGTGACCTGTATCGAGCGGCTCTTCTCAGACGACTTGGAGAGCTGGTGGAGTGAGGACGCCGGGCGGCCTCTGATATACGGCCATCAGTTGGCGCAATACAACTAGGGTATAGGACAGGCGCCATACCTCGTCGAGGACGAGTTTGACAACGAGGGTTGGGAGCGAGAGGACGACGAGGACGCCTGGGAGCCAGACTGGGTTGACCCAGAGAGTGAGGTTGACGAGGAGGAGATTGACGTTACAGACGCCCATTTTCCCAGGATAGGAGTAGCGGTCCGGGCGTAGGAGGTTTGAGGAGCGCACCAGGGCGACGGTTGAGTGAGCCTGACTACTGAACCTACTCGACCATACTGGACGAGAGTGCGAGAGTTGTCTGAAGGGTTAGCAACGTCGAGAGATGGGGTGGGAGTAGAGTGATGCTGACCGAGAGTGGGAGAAGAAATGAGGAGTGATTCAGCGGCCTGGTTAGCTTATGTTTTCTCACGAGAGTCCGAATCGTATAGTGTGAGGAAGCTTGTGGGACCCAGGGAGACGGCGGTTGGATACGACATACCACTTCCTATGGCGTTAGAAGAGGCAGGGCGTGTACCGATACGATACTTGGGAACGTTGCTCGCAGAGGGGCTCTTCCTATGGACAGTGATACTACATGACGAACGACCCGAGAGGACTCATGATCTAGAAGGGGTCGGACATCTAATAGCGGATAGAACACACAATTTAGAGATAGGGCTAACGCTCGCAGGGGCGAGCAGGAGTTGGTGGACGAGTTGTTGGCCAGAGTGATCGTTAATCAGCAATTGGTGAGACTCTCTGAAGGGAGGACGAGTAGGAGCTGCTTGATATACGGTCCACCACATCCGACCTTCTACCCGAGAAAGGATTGGCGATTCGGAGTTCCTACCTTCGTGATAGGGCAGACCTATGGGAGCGTGGATCGTTTGAGGAGAGAAGTGGATCACACACTTTACGCGCTCTGGGAGGGCTTAGCGCCCCGCTTCAAGGAAGTATACCACGCCATTTGTGTGAGGTGGGGGCCGCCCAGCAGAGAGACGCTTGACGACATCATAAATGTTATGAGCTGGGTGGACTGTCTGAGGCCTATCGATCTGATTAGGTACTGCAGGAGACGGGCAGAGATCGATTACGCGGGGCTAGAGGACGCGAGATTTCTCTTCGAGGTCGCAGCTTAGGGAATGCCGGGGAGGACGGTCACGGTGATGCGTGTAGAAAAGCAACTCGTAAGCACAGGATACACTGTGACAGTACTTCTCCAAGCGTACGTAGACGAGGACTTGACGGCGAGTAAGTGCAGACAAYGAGCTAGGGATTTGATCCACGAGCGTAGAGCTGATGTACTGGCGCGAGTGACCTTCCAGACCTCGATCTCCTATGATGTGATGATATGGTCTCATGGTTATATGCGCGCGGAGCACTACCACGATGAGACGGTAGCGGAGGCTAGAGCGAGGGTGAGAGGGTGAGGAGAGTGAGGCAGTCGGAAGAGTGAGAAAGCGCGTTAAAGAACCACTCTTGAACCAGGTAAAGAAGTTGGGGGACAAGTTAAGGGAGATCTGGTCGTGTCAAGACGAGGGCAAGTTGCGAAGGGCTGAACTCGTGACCAGAGAGTTAGAGAGTCTGTTTAGGGAGGAGAGAGAGATTATCCAGGCGTGGAGATCAGACTTTTAGGAGAAGGTAAAGGCTAAAAGCGTATCACGCGAAGAAACTAGTAAGCGATCCGCAGAGAGCGAGACAATGGAAGACAAAGTAACGCAGGGAAGTAGCGACGGGACATGAGCGGGACTGCACTACACACGACGGATCGGTACTCATTACATGTGGTAGGGAGACTGGACGGACCATTAGTGTTAGTGATCATAGAACTCCAGCTCMATACYWKAYTGTGCATAGTTGAGGAGGCAGAGTGTTTCCGCCGTGCCTTGCGTGAGGCAAGGGGGACAAAACTTTGGATTGGAATAGAAGGAGGACGGAGGATAAAATACGTACTCCGAGTAACACCCTTCGAAGGGCGGTCTCGGATAAGGGCATGGTACGAGACGACCAGAGAGGCTGAGAGGTTGAAGATAAGCGAAGCCAGGAAAGCTGGAGAGTTAGGGAGAGTTGTAACAGATGGTGCAATACTCAGGGTGTTAGCTGCTCACAACCGGTACTGGAAGGAAACGATAAAGACTTTAAAGGCGATAGACGAAGGAGGAGATAATGAGGACTTTGAGACATTTTATGACATATTGGAGCGGTCGGCGATGAGGTTACAAGTCATTATAGCACTAACTTACCTCAGCTGTTAAACAGATGACCTCGTAACCGTTGAGGAGATAAGGTAGTGGAAATAGAAATTGGAAGCTCTTGGAAGGATAGAGGAAGCTAGAAAGGTCGATGGGCGACATTGGGCGACATTAGGAGGGCCTTTAGCGGGCTAACCGATTCAGACAGGGCTAGGAGAACTAGCAAGGAGGACGGAGAGAGACGCTCGGGGACTCTTGAGGAGTGTTGATCAGGAGACATTGGCTAGGTTTGGGATTGCAATCTGTCTCAAGGGTAGAGGTCCTGTCACGGGCGTACTGTGGATCCGGACAGGCACGGCCTTGTTGACCGATCCCGAAGGAGAGGTTACTTAGACACAGGGATTCTTGGGATAGAGAGAGAACACGAGATCTGCGACCGGTACGGGATACTGGAGGTAGTAATCGAGGCAGTCGAGAGCTAAGATTGGAGGCGGACGCGAGCCGTGACAAAGAAACAGGTCCGGGGTGCAGCGACTGTCATAGGGTCGGGTTGTAACAGTTGGCAAGAAAACCTAACTGCGTCTTCAGGCGGTCCAATGGAACCCGACACGATTGGGCCAGAACCGACCACGGGCGAAGCGGGAGAGGAGTATAGGACATCGCCCGATCGAGCTCTAAAAGAACTGAAGGGACGAATTAGGCAAGAAGCACCGCTGAGATGGGCTGACCAAACCAATGACGGAGGACCCGACATAAGAGGCGAACCAGTTGCGACAGAGCCGCAGGAGGCTCTAAAGACGGGTACCTCGAGCGGACGACGAGAAGCAACGAGGCGACGCTCCCCCGAGTACGAGCGAAGGGAGACCATAGCGGACAGGCACAGAGACGACTGGAGAGAGAATTTGAGGGATTCCTATTGGAGGGACAGAGATAGAGACAGGGCGCCGCCCAGGCGAGTCTTCGACCCCCA